TTTTTTCATCTGAACAGATTTGGAGAAATTTAGCATTACATCACTTGCTCACAAATGAATCCTTTGCAGTGAATGGGTGCCGTCAGAATGAGAGTCCAACAGCTGATAAAAACATCATCATAATTCACACGATTCTAGGCCATCACAAATCTATAATCCATAAACTGTTCCAATGAAGAAACAAACTCATGTATATCTTGGATTTCCTGATGGTGAAGATTTTCATTATTGGGCGAGCTATTCCTTTAAGGAAACTTGACTTAAAAAAAAAAACACCATGATGGTGCTAATTTAATCACCAACAAGTAAATAAGCACATGCATGTTATCATTTCAATATATCACCCAGCATTACTTGTGGTACAATGAGAGTCTCCAGGGGTTTTTGTATGTGGATGTATGAACCCAGACACTGTGTGTGTGTGTGTGTGTCATACTTAACTGATTCACATAAGCATGTTTCAAGTAATTCACCTCTAATTGAATGGTTTCATTTCATCAACAGCAGTGAATTAATCAACATCACATCATATTATTCTCATGGGAACCATTACACAGACCTACCATTACACAGTCCATAACCTCTCACTTATTTTCCATATTACCCATGTGTGTCGGAGCAGTCTGGTTGTACAGGTTTTGTGCTCCGTTTCAGGTGTGAACAGGAGGAATCCTCGCACTCCACTAACTGATCTGCAGGGAAGCAACGCACTTAATCAACGGTAAGAGCACCTCACATATGACCACCATCCTGTCCTGTATCCCTCATAGATACAGATGCCCCTAAAATGTTTGACATTTAAATATACAGAATATCATTGAAAATAAATTTAGCAGTTATGAAGGGGTTTTAGGGCGTCTGCAAAAAAAACTGTGGTGTTAGAGTGGATTCTTTTTTTTATTCTATTGACAGTCGTTTTTAACAGACAGGATCAACGAATACATTTGCATACAATTTTGTGACAAATAGTTTGAATTTATGTGTTTCTACAAATAAATTGAAACAAATTAATTTCAAATGGTTTCTTTTCAGGTTTATATATCTAAAAGTACTCTAAAAGTGGGTCAGAAAACAACATGTCTTTATTATATCACACTTGATACTTTTTCACACAGTATAAATAGGTCTGAATATATGAACATAGTATATAGATGCCTTTATATTAAAAGGAAAGAGCTCTTTCACATTGTGATCTTCATATTGAGCTTTGTCTTTGAAAACCCCTTCATAAGATAGTTGTGATGTGATATGATCTTGCAAATTTTACAGTACAGTATTATATCTGCCATAATAATAATTCCAGTGGAGGTGTGTATGACATATCTCATTCCACTAGTGCTCTGATGATATAGCACTATGATAACATTGTGCTAGTGCTCTGATTATATTTTCCCGGAGAACCTGAGTATCATTTGTTTATACCATCAGTAGCCGAGTTTCTAAAATCCCCTCTGTAGTTTCCTGACACTTGTTTTTTTTCGGAGTGGGAAATGAAGCGTATACGACGGGCCCCTGGTCAGTACTCACACGGCTTGTTAAGTTGTCTGTGTGGGTGTAGAATTAGAGCTGTGGCTCCACAGATAACCAGAGGACGACCCACGGCTTTCCCGGCTTCATGCTTTGTTAATGACTGCATGGCACTGAGATTAGTCCTGATATCCACAACAAGTGGCAAGAGCCGAGCTCACAACAGCTCTTTTGTTGCACTGTAAAGTCCCCCTAATCTGTTTTGCAACCCCACACACTTTTTGGGTTACTAAGTGACCATTAAACACTAGGAAACAGCAGCTGCTTCCTGTGTGATGTAAGTTTGGAGGTATTTGCTCATTTGGAGGACAGGCCCTAGGCTGATGAGTAAATGCTCTCCACAGTCCAAGACCACATGCTCCAGTGACCTCCTGTACACAGAATATCGCCATAAAATTTCGGCTTTGTTTTTTTTTTTATGTTTTAATTTTTTAATGTTTGGTTAATTTGACAGATTTTTCCCAATGAGTTTTATACATAAAAAATAAATTGTGGTTTAGTCAAAAAATTAACTACTGAAGATTCCAGTCTTATTGGTGTCCTAGAAAAGGCTGTTTTAATCTAAATAAGGGTAGTCTCCCCTGCAAGGTTTCGGGAATGACATCCGCATATTTATGCTGGATTCACTCTCGAAATAGCAGGGATTTACACAGTGATAACCATAGAAATGAACGGGAGAAAAAATATATGTGAGAGCACCCTCATTGATTTAATTTTGGAACCAGTCCTGGCCAAACTTCCACAGACAGCGCACGTTCTGAGCGAGATCTAGTTCACAGCCCAAAAGCGTGTGTAAACTTTATTGAGATTGGGACATATCAACCAGTAATTTCATTTCCAGTAACCGACGGTTGAAAGTTCAGGAATGAATGGTATGCGATTTATGACAGAATATAGTCCCACAACTGATCGTTTATTTTGTCTTCACGTGTCTCGACTTTGGTAACAAAGATTCAAAACGGAACCGATTTCAAATGACACGAGAAACAGACATGGAAAACTTCAGTGAACATCAGAAAAGCAGTCAGAAAAGCACATTTCTGGTTAAAAATGAAAGGCCATCAACTGACACGTAAAATGGGAAGCATCGCCATTCAAATCAGCAGTCAAAGCTAGTCCACAGTTAAGTAAACGTTGGCAACCTCTTTAAATTGACTGAGCTGTATTTCAGCAAGGCTGGCACAAAACGCGGCACCATTCTCGTAGAGTACAGTAAACAAATTTTTGTTACAATGAATGCTATCAATTCTTGTCATTCAAGACCAGAAAAATCCCTACAGAATTAATTGAACTGTTATGTATCATTTTCCAGGAATCCCACTGATATTTGTATGTTTTTTTTGTTTTTTTTACAAAAATTCATTCATTCAAAAATTCATTCATCTTCATTCATCTACCATGTTTATCGTGTTTGTTCTTTTCATAACACATGAGTGAAATGCGTCTCGACTTTGGTAACAAAGATTCAAAACGGAACCGATTTCAAATGACACGAGAAACAGACATGGAAAACTTCAGTGAACATCAGAAAAGCAGTCAGAAAAGCACATTTCTGGTTAAAAATGAAAGGCCATCAACTGACACGTAAAACGGGAAGCATCGCCATTCAAATCAGCAGTCAAAGCTAGTCCACAGTTAAGTAAACGTTGGCAACCTTTTTAAATTGACTGAGCTGTATTTCAGCAAGGCTGGCACAAAACGCGGCACCATTCTTGTAGAGTACAGTAAACGATCTTTTGTTACAATGAATGCTATCAATTCTTGTCATTCAAGACCAGAAAAATCCCTACAGAATTAATTGAACTGTTATGTATCATTTTCCAGGAATCCCACTGATATTTGTATGTTTTTTTTTGTTTTTTTTTTACAAAACTTCTACTTCATTCATCTACCATGTTTATCGTGTTTGTTCTTTTCATAACACATGAGTGAAATGGCTGCAAAATAATCTAACAAAACACAGCGCAAAGCCTCAAGGATCATTAAGGGCCATTATGATTAATGAATTTCTGATAGCCTATTTGTGTGTATGTGTTTTGTGGCTTCCACCATTAGGTGATGCACTTGAACAAGTCAAGAGCATGCAAACAGTAACTTCCCTTACGAAAATTAATCATGCTTTTATTATAGTAAAAGTGTGGTAACCATGCTTTTTTTTTGCATATTGATTTCCTTTGTATAATGACAGTTTTACTACAATTACTGGTTAAACTATGGTTAGTGTAGCAAAACCATATAGTTAATTTGTGGTTACCATGGTTTATAGTAACCAAGGTTTTTTTTTTTTTAGTTAGAGATGTGAGTTGTGTGTTTAATATTTATGTTTTTGCTGTCCCTTTCAGAGAGGGATGGAATGGGCGTGCTGGGAGACAAAACCGTCTGTCCTCCCCTGGATCCGTCAATGAAGAGGACGGCATCTTCGTCAACTCCACCAGCAGTAAACTCCTGGAGCGAGCCCATGGCATTCTTATGTGAGATTCTGCCTCTCTGTGCTACACAGCTCTACTTGTATTGTCATCAAATTCAACATGCTACTGGAATAGCATAACCACTATTATTTATGCTTGTTTTTCAGGAGAAATAAAAACTATAAAATGAAGCCCAGTCTTCCTAAGGTGCGAATCCCATAACATACTTTTTTTTTTTTTTATCGATTTCTTTTTTTAAATGATATTCACACAATGACAAGTCTGTTATGATCTACATCATGTAGTCAAAACACTGGTGTTTTTGTCTGGAGAAATAAAAACTATAAAATGAAGCCCAGTCTTCCTAAGGTGCGAATCCCATAACATACTTTTTTTTTATCGATTTCTTTTTTTAAATGATATTCACACAATGACAAGTCTGTTATGATCTACATCATGTAGTCAAAACACTGGTGTTTTTGTCTTTTTTTTGTGGTTTGGTTTGGTTCTTGTGAAACACATACAGAGATATTTAGCAAAGTGTCAACAAGTTTATGGTGTTGTGTTGAGTGTCCAAAAGTGCTAATGAGATCTGATAACCAATGCAGAAGGCAAGTTATTTAGTTTTCCTTCACTCAGAGCTATCATATGGCTTCAGAATACTTGGAATAATGCATACAAGTTATTTTTTGTCCTTTTATTGTCTGTTTTTATAGACATTTATGTGACATTTTTTAGGATACGCTGAGATATTTTTATAGCTGTGATTGCCATATACAGAATTGACTTCTCTTTTTGTGTTCCATGGAAGTTCATGTGGTTTTATAACGACTTGAGGTTCTGTAAATGCTGATAGAACTCATATTTTTGGGTAAACTATCCCTTTAATTGGTCTCTGTAAGCTTGTGACTGACTGACTGACTGTGTGTCTGTTTCTGCAGCACTTGCTGGATGTAAAGTCTCTGAAGTACCTTAGTAACCTGACGTTACAAGACCGCATAACAAAGTCCCTGCTGCACCTGCACAAGAAAAAGAAACCCCCAAGTATCAGTGCCCAGTTTCAGGTCAGATCTCACTCTCTTTCACTCTTTCTTTCTTAAGAGTATTCTGAATCATGTCTATGTTGTGTAAGTGTGGTGTAAATTCCACCGTGTACAGCTCTGTTTTATAAGCTCTAGTAAAAGCCCAAATTAATGACATCATGTCTGTGTTTGATACAATAACACTTTTATTTTCTCTGTCGTTCCCAAGCTCCTTTGTTTTGGCTTTACTAAAAAAAAAACTGCTGGTTAAAGTTCATGTATTTGACAGGATGTCCTTACCTACTCAGAGCTTGAGCTCATGAGCATTACAGTCTATTGAATTAGCTGATCCCCTGCATATTACTGTGTGTTATTGTTATCAGCTCTGTTGTGGGTTTTACATTTGTGGTCCTGTGGACTTCAAAATTAAATGCAATTAAATTTAATTGAAATTGAAATCCGTTTTAAAAATTCCCGTGAGACATAAAAGTGCGTGTAGTTGTGCAGTAAAAATGCAGCATTGTATGACATTTCACTCTGCTGGCTAAGAATTACATTTCCCTCTAGTGTCTCAGATTGAGACAGAGAGCTGTAAACATTCACCCGCTCTGCAGTTCTGGGGCGTCTGGCAGCAGGCCTGCACAAATGTGTGGATGACCTCACTTCCCACATCCTGTTCTGTGTGGCTCTCACTTTAGGAAGGGAGAGTGAATTCCTGACCACCAAAATAGCCGTTTTCCCTCTGTATGGAGAGATGCAGACATGGAAATACACACAACAAAGGCTTTTCAAAGATCTTGAACATTAGCATATCGGATGCTATATGTAAATGTTTTGCCTACTTTGGAATGGTATATCTGTGTCATATTACGCTATGATATTTAAAATATTGGAAATGATATGTAAAATTTCTAGAATAGACATTATTGTCTTAATTTAGAATGTATATTTGTATTTCTTTTGAATATGAATTGTTTTTTGGAGTGAAATGTTCTCGACAGGTTTTGTGAGATTCACTTAGTCAAGAAACGAGAAAATGATGAGACTAAAAGAGACTGGGATGAGATAGCGAAATGTTGCGAGCCAAATTTGAACTTGTGCTGTCTTCATGAGCACTATAGCTCAATGTGTTATTCAGCCAGTTAAAGTAATGCAGACAACATACAGCTTGTGTCTACCATCTTGCTTAATTTATTTGTGGTATTTTACTTAATTTAAGACCTCTCTCAACAAACTGATGGAGACGCTTGGTCAGTCGGAGCCGTACTTTGTGAAGTGCATACGATCAAATGCAGAGAAGGTGTGTGAGTCCATGTGAATGTTTCATATTTATTTCACTCATACTGTATAGTATGTCGTTTATAGATTATAGACCTTTCTATGTTTACTTTTTGACATAAATCCCTGTTGCTTTTCAGCTTCCTCTGCGTTTTAATGATGCCCTGGTGCTGAGACAGCTTCGCTACACAGGCATGCTGGAAACCGTGCGTATCCGACAATCTGGCTACAGTATCAAGTACACTTTTCAGGTGAGACTAATGCACGCATATAGTATATAGCTTTCAAAGAAGTCCCTTATGCTTAATTAAGAATACAGTAAAAGCAGTAATATTATTCAAAAATGTTTTCTATTTGAATATTAAATTAAATTTGAATTTTAAAATGTAAATTATTCCTGTGATGCAAAGCTGAATTTTCAGCATCATTACTCCAGTCTTCGGTGTCACATAATCCTTCAGAAATCATTCTAATATGCTGATTTGGTGCTCTTTTGATAAATTTTATGCATCCTTTATCAATACAATTATTAATTTCTTAAAATAATAAATCAATAAAATACAAAAATAAAAGATCTTACTGACCCCAAAACTTTAAATGATATTGTACATGGGTCGGTGCAATTTCTGATTCTATCCTCATCTTCCAAAGCTGAAGTCAGTGTTTCCAGTTATTCACTTCCTTTCTTGGGTGTGGCTGTCTGAGGATGGTTCTGTTGTTTTGGACACTTTTTTTATGAATTCAGCCCAGACAAATAGCATCATGTAGATGATACAGATAGATTTGTTTACACACTGTGAATCCCTAATAAGTGACAAATCGTCAGCTCTCTTGTCAATAATTAATAGTGTTTCCTAAGGCAAGCCTCGCTATTACTGTTGCTTATATTGGGGACCGTGTAAAATGGCCTTTGTAATGAATGTGGGACTTGAGGGGTATGCATACTTTTGCATCCATTACTTCATTTGAACATATGAACACAAAAATACATGGGCCCTTAAGCCACACTTTTACTTCTACAATGTCAAGAATTAAGATAGGAATTTTCTGTAATACTGCCTCAAATTATCATAGAGACTTGGGATTGGCTCTTTTGACACAGGCCAGTAAGCCAACACCTATCATTACAGAGATAGCAAACATTAGCAATGTGCTAACAACCACTCAGAACACTCTAGCACGCTGACTTACTTTTTATTAAGCTCTCCATCATGTCAATGAGTGTTCATGTGTCTTTTTTATGAAACTTAAGTGTTTTCGCCCCCAGTAATTCCTGTAAGATATGAAGCTGGTGTAGTTAGCTGACTTCACAGAGGCTCTCTATAGTCTGCAATAAAAGTGGCCAGGAATAATTGCATACACAACGGCATCTGCCTCCCAGACTGTCCACCCCTAGTGGGCTGCATTGACGGAGACTTCAATAAGGCATATCTTCTCAGTGATGTTAGTGTTCTGAAATCTGCCCAATTTTAAGGCCTCAATGAGAAATGTCACTTCCTGGACACTTCATAAAGTGAATGACTTTTGTGTGTGTGCCATCAAGAAAAAAGATTCACTATGGTGGTGTGGTATAAAGTCTCTGTGTCCTCTCCAGGATTTTGTTCGACACTTCCATGTACTGTTACCAGAGGGTACCAACCAGGCCAGCCAGGAAGCTATCAGACGGTACCTGCACCAGGTGGATCTCACTCCTGAAGGGTTCCAAATGGGCCGTACCATGGTATGATCAACCCTCAGCCTCTGCCAGTGATGGGACTTAATTCAATTCCTAGCGTATAACTTTTTCTGATGCCTTTGGGATGACACATACTGTCCATTCATGGTTAGCTTTTTTGGAAATGTACAGTATTGCATGCATGTGACATGTCTCTTTGACATTCGTGTGTATGGCAGGTGTTCCTCCGTGAAGCAGAGCGTCAGCGGCTGCAAGACCTGCTCCATCAGGAGGTGCTGCGCAGAATCATTAATCTTCAGAGACGTTTCAGAGCTCTTCTAGAGAGAAGGAACTTCCTCAGAATGAGACAGTCTGCTTGCCAAATACAGGTACCTCTGAAATTTCTGTTTAGTTTCAGTGAAAATATTGAATCGGATTGTTCTGTTTTAAACATCTGTGCTTTTTATTGATTTTATTTAATGTTTAAAAAAAATCATTATCCAGTATCCATCTTGAATGACTGAAAACCCAAGTTCATTGGGCAGAAGGTGTGGGAACCCTGTCTTTGGTATTTGAGTTACAATTTTGACATGTAAACAGTGGAAGTACTTACAGAAATAAAGGATTTAGTATTAAATAAATAATTTTACTCTAACTCTAAAGGTGAATTATTTGTTCCGTCAAACACTCAAACAATGTGGATAGACTGATTGCAGTTATGTATTGTAAGTCTATGACTTAGTCCTTTTTTATATATTATAAAGATTTATATTTACATCTTGGCATTACCTAATGTTTTGATGCAAGTAATAATTTTAGTAAGATTACTATTTAGTATTTTGTAATTGTCTAATAAGGTTGTTTTGTACATGTGAAAAGTATATTCCTGTCTTTAAAAGCTATTCTAAAACTTAAGTTTTTACACCAAATAGTTTGGAGTAAATCTTTAATTGAATCCACACTGTGTTGTGTTGTCTCATGTAGAACTGGTGGAGGAGGTGTCAGTCTTTACAGAGGGACAGCAGGCTTGAGTATGTCCAGCAGGGGGCAGCGGTTTGTATCCAGTCGGCCTGGAGAGGCTTTAAAGATAGGCATAGACTCTTGCTGTGGAGGGAGGCAGCCGTGGTGATCCAGAGAAATTGGAGGCTGTATTGGCGGGGGCGGGCGGCCCGCCGGATCCAGACTGTATGGAGAAGACACAGGGCCAGAGAGCTCTATCTCCGGCAGCGGGATATCACCATCCGCCTGCAAGCAGCGGGTAGAGGCTATTTGGCGAGGCAGAGGTATGATGCAATCCTTTCTAAAGAGGGTTGCTCTGTTAAAATAAATGGCCTAATAACACAGGCAGAACTCTATTATGGTCTGGGTTACACCAATCAAGTCTTATCCTTTTTATACAGACTTCTTAGTGGAGGTCTGCCAAGCACAAATCTGGTTGGTTTAACACTGGAATTGCATAAGAACTCAAAGTTAAGAGAACTGTTTGAGAAAGTTAGGAATTGTTTCAAAGTGCTAAGTTGTTTGCTAATTAAAAGGTTGTTTACTAACCTTTCTTGTTGTTTTATTGGTACTTTACATTTTGCGATGATGTAGCCAATAAAAATAAACAATATTATCGTTCAGTGATATATTAAAAGTTGGATATACTGTATAGTACATTTATTGCCATACAGTACACTCACATAAAACAACATATACTATATAGTATATCAAATCTCGGCTATGTGATAGTTTATGTCATTGCAACAATGTAAACTATATTATTGCACAGCTCTTTATATAAAGTTGGAAATAGAGTACATCCAACTTTACCCGCATATATACAGTAATGTGATATACTGTATATATATATATATATATATATATATATATATATATATATATATACTACTGTATATAGTCAATCTCAAATGCTAGATTGCTTACATAGTCACAAAATGTAATCATCCCATCTCTAATCAGTGAAATGTGACTATAAGGCATGAAGATACTAAGCTATTATAGACATTAACATGATTTTCTGTAAAGCTGCTTAGAAGCAATGTGAATTTTGAAAAGCACTATGCAAATAAATTTGACTTCTTTTTTTTTACCGTGTATCCTGTCTTTAATTAAAATCTTTAAATAAAAGTCTGAAATTAAATTTTTTTTTATTGGGTTTATCTCAAAATTTTCAGATGTAGAGAACTTAAACAGAGATTAAAAACCACTCAGCTGCCGAATGGAAAGTCCAGTCTGTTACCAGAAGAGGACAAGCTGAGAGGCATGGGTTTGGATCAAAGCATATGGGAAGACTCCTGTGAGGTGCAGGACAGGAGCAGACAGACCCTCATCAGTGCAGTAGAGGCACCTGGAGAAGATGTTTCAGAAGAGATGGAGCCAGAGATGACAGAGGGTACGGCAACAGTACAACCGACACTTGAAGAGTCAATCCGCGAAAGACCGCAGACTCTAGAGGATCCCAACCAGAGGACTCGGGCCAAAAGAGAGAGCCGGCGGATGCGAGAGTTGGAGCAGGCCAAATTCAGCTTGGAGCTTCTTAAGGTGCGCTCCACTGGAGGTGTGTCTCCTTCGGAAGAAAGGCGCTGGTCAATGGAGCTGGTCAGTGAGATCGCTCACACTCCTCAGGGTTCTCCAGACAGCCAGAGCTCCAAAGGCAGCTTTGAGCTACTCAATATAGATGACTATTTCAAAGACAAGGCACCCTGTGCTGAACCAGAGAACCTTGGTTCTCCTTCTGTACCTGACAAGCACGATGTGTTCTCCAACATTCCCGAGTCCACTTTGCCCTCTGACACTCCAGCACCCGATATATTGTCAAAACCAGCTGGCCAACCTGAACCTCCCAAAAGGCAGAACTCGCTCCCAACTTTCTACTCCCCTCCATCAGAAAGCTGCTTTCTAATTTTGAAGTCTACCATGAATTCTGCCACCCTGTGCCCTGATGGCCCCAGCAAACCAATGAAAGACAAGAAGGAGCCCACTCGGAGACCTATGGTTGTGGTTATTAGTATGCAGAAGGAGAGCCTTTTAAATGAAGTAGATGTGAAGGCTCTGGAGGTCAAAGACAGTTCCGCCCAGACCAGTGAGCCGCCAAGCCCAGCACAGCCTAGCAGCAAAAGCCTTTATGTTCTGGAAAAGCTAGAGAAGCTTAATGAGGTAAAGGAAGAGCGTCAGAAACATCAGCAGCAGCAAAATGAAAAAGAGATGATGGAGCAGATCCGTCAGCAGAAGCACATCCTGAAAGAACAACGTGAGATTTTCTCCCAACATGAGAGGGAGGTGTTTGAGAAGCAGAGGGTTGAAGCTCTGCAAAGGATCGAGCAGAGTAGACAAGAAGGTTCAGGAGGAAAGCCAGATAGATTCTTCACAGACAGAGGCCCTGCTCCCATAGCTCAGCCAGAGCCTGACCTCAGCTTCCAGCCATTGGTCCCGGAAAAGGAAGCTGCTCCTTCAATTTTCAGAGACAAACCAAAAGACAGTCGCAATGTAGCAGAAGGGTGGGCACCAAAGTTGACCCTGGAATCCAGAGGGGATGAAGCCAGAAGGAAAATAACTACGAAACCGTCCACTCAGAATGTCAACATGAGCATGTCCGAGAGGCCTGGAAACATGTTCTTTTCTCCGAAGGCCAAGGTTTCAAAGTAAGTGATGAACTTGACCTCAGGGTGCCAGGTTACTGAATAGTTCATCCCAAAATGAAAATTATCATGATTTCAAACTCACCGTCCAAACCTGTATGATTTTCTTTCTTCTGCTGAACATGCAAATAAAATGTCCAATTTGTCCTTTACTATGGATATTTGGGGCTTTCAGGCTTCAAAATTAAAAAAGTCCATATGACTTTGCCACTATTATCCAAGTCTTCTAAAGTCAGACATTAGCTTTGTGTGAGGAACAGACAAATTTAAGCTGTCGTTAACATTAAACCTAGCTTGAAACTTCCTAAGACGCCATCTTTAAATTAGCTTAAAAGTAAGCTTAATCACATTAAATTCTGGTCTATTCTGCACACAACGCTAAAGAAAGGATTTCAAATGGGTTTAGATCACCATGAAGGTGAGTAAATAATGGCAGCGTTTTCCTTTTTGAGTAAATTAAACCTTGAACTTCTTGAATTTGTTTTAGGTTGGAGAAGGACTTAGCCAATCAAGGGAAGACCCCTGGAGTCCAGAATGAAGTGAGCCTGTTTGGTTACAAATCCACTAAGAGTGAGGTGAGAGATGTAGCATTTGACACTTTAGGTCATGACAGATTTAAATAGCTTTTCCCAAACCTCAAGATTTTTTCCTCCCTTATTATTGAATACATTTGTGTTTGAACTCTTTATGCCTCATGAGGCCTTGGTGGGGTCATCTGACCTTGACGTACAGGGGAGCCATCTTCATTTGTTTTATCATTTGGTTGATTAGGTTGGCCGACCGGGTCATAAAAAAGCTCGAATGGCACGGACACGTTCAGACTTCCTGACTCGCGGTTCAAACGCCATGGGAGAGGGGGAGTCAGAGGAGGAGGAGTATGATGAGACCCCTCTGTTTCCTGGCACACCCCTCCCCAAGCAGGACTCAGAGGAGAGCGCACTAGAGGCTTGTCACAGTGACTCCGAAATGGTAATTTAACGGTCTGTGTTAGAGCAAGTAGGCCCAGCAGCAAGATCTCTCTCTACAGCTAACTCCTCCAGAAGAAGCTGATAGATCGCCTTACTGACCACCTGAAACGCTTCTACACTCCCTATCCAGTTGAAGGACATAGTCTTCAACCACAGATGCTGAAACACCTTTTGAAAACTATTCTCATCTGTGATGGCAGGTGTTTTCTGCATCCACATAGAAATACTGTACAAATAAAATATACAATGCAAAGAATCATTTGCATTTTTAATTAGGGCTGTCATTAGATTGAAAAAATACTGATTAATCTTAAATTTAGAATTTTCCTCAATACATACATACAGTAGTTTACTTCACTATATACTGTAAATGGGGGCATTCCATAGACTTCTATTGCTAGATATAAATATAATAACCTAACCAACACCCTACATGAAATTTAACCTACACAAACTAGTGTCTTTGGACGTTATGCTGACACCTATTGGTGGGGATGTACTGTAACATCACACAAAACTATGTTACTGTACATTATAAACATATTTGTCAAAAGCACTGTTCATTTTGCATTAGCCATTAAAACCTTTTTTTTTTTTTACAGTTGTTTATTGATATAATTTCAATTAATCTTATGAGGTTTCATGTTAACTTTGACAGCCCTGATTTTAGTCCATTTTCAACCAGCACCAAAATATAGTAGATAAAATTCTCTCACACTTGAGCCAGAACTTCTATTTTCTTCAATACATTGGTTCATCTACCAGCCACACAGATATGGATGGCTTCCATCAGAAGTTTACGTTTCTTTCCTGATGTTAAAGGCATCTTGCATAAAGTTTAACCCACGGCACTCTTCACAATCTGACCATGCTGCTTGTCTAGACATAACAACTATGATAGTTATAAGTTGCTCCTTCCTGAACAGCCAAGACCTTCAACTGTGAAATTCTGCTCTCTACACTGCCACCTTGGATAAAGAGTACTGCATGCTTTAACATCTAGCTCTGTCTTCTCTTCTGCAACTATTCACCAAGGCTAAAGCCATGGACCTGTCATGGCGCACATTCTTCATTTCTTATTCTGTAGCTCTCTTTTCAATAATCACTCTTTCCAGTCTTGTTGGTTAACAGTACAGTAGAATCCAGTCATTATTTGGGTCATTTTATGAAACTGGTGCCTCTTTTTTATATCAAAGTGGTAATTTGATTAATGTTGGGTTATATCCAATATTTAGACAAGTAAAAACTTTAACAGTTCTTCAGTTTACTTAGCTGTTATTGATTTGTGCTCATTATTTGATTTAGATCATTATAAGATTTAATGCTGATATTTCTGCATTTACCCACAGTATAAAATAAATTCTTAAATTGTTTAAATGAAGGATACTTATATTATGGTAACAGGGTTGACACATAAACTGGGGATTAGATGCCAGGACTTTTAAATGAACTATTTTCAAATAAAATTCGAATACAAAATAACACAAGTAGTTACTGTATTCATTATTATTTAAATTATGCAAAAGGTACCCATTTTGTAGAATGACCCATCTAGCTTTGGTTAAATACATTAGTGTTGTAGAAAACATTGATTTAACCACTTAGTGCTTTCAGACTATGTTAAGGAGCAACACATGAAGAGTTCAGATGCAAAAGCCTCTATTAGTACGTCTGACGATTTTCTTTAAAATTAGCATTTCTTTCTGGCTACTATGTATAGGTTTCTATGTAAATACTGGTACTTCTGAATGGGTTGAGGCTGGGATTTAAAGCATTTGAAGTGAAAGTACTTGATGAACATATACGATGTGTGGAGAGCATTCACTCAGTACCGTTATCTCATTTTTGACCAAGATGGCTTTTAGAGGTTTTTGCATTGGAACTCTTCACATGTTCTTACTCTTTGTGCCTGTTGTAAATGTTTAAAACTGACACTACCTACCTGAAAATAGTGACCAAAGTGAAAGGAAAAGGCAAAGTGTCCATTTAATGGCTTATATTGAGCTATAGAAAGTTTTGACAGACAAAGCATGCCGATTACCGGCAGTCAGAGACCTTTGCTCTTACCTAGTATATGTAATGATCTCTTTCAGACGGTCACAGCCAATGAAGAGCAGAAGAACATGTATAAAGCCATGTCATCTGGAGAGCTGGGCAAAAGTGATGCGAGGAAGAACTCTCATGGAGATGGAAGGTGCTTGTTTTTTCACGAACAGTTAGTTGTGAATTAGTTTTGAACAGTTATCTGAAATTCAAGATTAAAATATTTTCATTAGATGTTCATTTTAATCTTAATTTAATCATTCTCATATTGTTCCAAAACGTATTGATTCCTCCCCCCCTCCCCATGAAACAGATATTGCAGAATGCCCCAACTGTTTGGGGCAAAGCACCCTAGAATTAGTACGCTCATCACTGCTGGTTTTTCACACATAGAATTATTGTGTCTAAGCAAGCAAAAAAAAAAAAAGAAGGGGCTGAAACATGAAGTAAATGAAATAAAATTAAGTATTTGGATACTCTATTTCATTAAACTATTGCTGTCCTTGTCAACGTGTATTGTCGGTAGGGTTCGTGGTAAAATGCGGTTTTGGGGAAAGGCAAGGCATGCAGAGAAGAAAACCTCGCGAGAGCGGCTGCTGTGTGGCAGTGATACTTTGGAAGGAGACTATGCTGAAACGGCAATTCTAATGGAAGAGGGTGAGTCGTCAGAAAAACAGCTTCATTAAAATGTTTCAAGTATATTGAGTTTTGAAGAACTCTTTTGGTCATGAAAGCACTGCCATTCTGTTTATTCAGGGGTAGAGCGCCTGTCCCCACCTCGAAGCCCAGACCTAACGTTACAGAGGGAGTTTAAAGAGAATAAAGACCCGTCCCCTAAAGTGAAGCGCAGACGAAGTGTGAAGATCAGCAGTGTGGCTCTAGAGCCCGTCCAGTGGCAGAACGATGCCCTGCAGATACTCACATGTGCTAATGACTACAGGAGCATGAATGACTTCCTCATGAAGAAGGTGATGACTGTTTTCTACTTGAATTTGCATTTACTTATTGATGAGGCGTTGTCCTCATAACCTTGTTTTAATCTTACAGATTACTGATTTGGACACAGAAGATGGTAAGAAAGACACGATGGTGGATGTTGTCTTCAAAAAGGCCCTAAAGGAGTTCCGCTTGAATATCTTCAACTCATACTCAACAGCTTTAGCTGTAAGTACCTTAATAAAGCATTTGTTTTACTGTTATCACCCCAAAATTATTCATATTGCATTGATTGAAAACATATGACATTTGGTTATTTTATCTTTGCAAAAGCAAGTGAGTGTGAATGTCCCTTAAGGGATGTGATGTATTGCTTGCTGTCACATTGTGCCTGGTTAGAACATTATGTCAGAAACAGATATATTGTTTTTGCTCTGTGTGCAGATGGACGATGGGAAGAGCATTCGTTACAAGGATCTCTACGCCCTCTTTGAACAAATCCTGGAGAAAAATATGCGTCAGGAGCAGAGGGACTGGAGCGAGTCACCGGTGAAAGTTTGGGTCAACACCTTCAAAGTCTTCCTGGATGAGTTCATGACAGAGCACAAACCTCAGGACAGCAGCATGAGCAGGGTACAGTGTTAACACAGTCAATGGCACTCTTCATGAACAGGATATACAAAATTATATATATATATATATATATATATATATATATATATACTACTGTATATAGTCAATCTCAAATGCTAGATTGCTTACATAGTCACAAAATGTAATCATCCCATCTCTAATCAGTGAAATGTGACTATAAGGCATGAAGATACTAAGCTATTATAGACATTAACATGATTTTCTGTAAAGCTGCTTAGAAGCAATGTGAATTTTGAAAAGCACTATGCAAATAAATTTGACTTCTTTTTTTTTACCGTGTATCCTGTCTTTAATTAAAATCTTTAAATAAAAGTCTGAAATTAAATTTTTTTTTATTGGGTTTATCTCAAAATTTTCAGATGTAGAGAACTTAAACAGAGATTAAAAACCACTCAGCTGCCGAATGGAAAGTCCAGTCTGTTACCAGAAGAGGACAAGCTGAGAGGCATGGGTTTGGATCAAAGCATATGGGAAGACTCCTGTGAGGTGCAGGACAGGAGCAGACAGACCCTCATCAGTGCAGTAGAGGCACCTGGAGAAGATGTTTCAGAAGAGATGGAGCCAGAGATGACAGAGGGTACGGCAACAGTACAACCGACACTTGAAGAGTCAATCCGCGAAAGACCGCAGACTCTAGAGGATCCCAACCAGAGGACTCGGGCCAAAAGAGAGAGCCGGCGGATGCGAGAGTTGGAGCAGGCCAAATTCAGCTTGGAGCTTCTTAAGGTGCGCTCCACTGGAGGTGTGTCTCCTTCGGAAGAAAGGCGCTGGTCAATGGAGCTGGTCAGTGAGATCGCTCACACTCCTCAGGGTTCTCCAGACAGCCAGAGCTCCAAAGGCAGCTTTGAGCTACTCAATATAGATGACTATTTCAAAGACAAGGCACCCTGTGCTGAACCAGAGAACCTTGGTTCTCCTTCTGTACCTGACAAGCACGATGTGTTCTCCAACATTCCCGAGTCCACTTTGCCCTCTGACACTCCAGCACCCGATATATTGTCAAAACCAGCTGGCCAACCTGAACCTCCCAAAAGGCAGAACTCGCTCCCAACTTTCTACTCCCCTCCATCAGAAAGCTGCTTTCTAATTTTGAAGTCTACCATGAATTCTGCCACCCTGTGCCCTGATGGCCCCAGCAAACCAATGAAAGACAAGAAGGAGCCCACTCGGAGACCTATGGTTGTGGTTATTAGTATGCAGAAGGAGAGCCTTTTAAATGAAGTAGATGTGAAGGCTCTGGAGGTCAAAGACAGTTCCGCCCAGACCAGTGAGCCGCCAAGCCCAGCACAGCCTAGCAGCAAAAGCCTTTATGTTCTGGAAAAGCTAGAGAAGCTTAATGAGGTAAAGGAAGAGCGTCAGAAACATCAGCAGCAGCAAAATGAAAAAGAGATGATGGAGCAGATCCGTCAGCAGAAGCACATCCTGAAAGAACAACGTGAGATTTTCTCCCAACATGAGAGGGAGGTGTTTGAGAAGCAGAGGGTTGAAGCTCTGCAAAGGATCGAGCAGAGTAGACAAGAAGGTTCAGGAGGAAAGCCAGATAGATTCTTCACAGACAGAGGCCCTGCTCCCATAGCTCAGCCAGAGCCTGACCTCAGCTTCCAGCCATTGGTCCCGGAAAAGGAAGCTGCTCCTTCAATTTTCAGAGACAAACCAAAAGACAGTCGCAATGTAGCAGAAGGGTGGGCACCAAAGTTGACCCTGGAATCCAGAGGGGATGAAGCCAGAAGGAAAATAACTACGAAACCGTCCACTCAGAATGTCAACATGAGCATGTCCGAGAGGCCTGGAAACATGTTCTTTTCTCCGAAGGCCAAGGTTTCAAAGTAAGTGATGAACTTGACCTCAGGGTGCCAGGTTACTGAATAGTTCATCCCAAAATGAAAATTATCATGATTTCAAACTCACCGTCCAAACCTGTATGATTTTCTTTCTTCTGCTGAACATGCAAATAAAATGTCCAATTTGTCCTTTACTATGGATATTTGGGGCTTTCAGGCTTCAAAATTAAAAAAGTCCATATGACTTTGCCACTATTATCCAAGTCTTCTAAAGTCAGACATTAGCTTTGTGTGAGGAACAGACAAATTTAAGCTGTCGTTAACATTAAACCTAGCTTGAAACTTCCTAAGACGCCATCTTTAAATTAGCTTAAAAGTAAGCTTAATCACATTAAATTCTGGTCTATTCTGCACACAACGCTAAAGAAAGGATTTCAAATGGGTTTAGATCGCCATGAAGGTGAGTAAATAATGGCAGCGTTTTCCTTTTTGAGTAAATTAAACCTTGAACTTCTTGAATTTGTTTTAGGTTGGAGAAGGACTTAGCCAATCAAGGGAAGACCCCTGGAGTCCAGAATGAAGTGAGCCTGTTTGGTTACAAATCCACTAAGAGTGAGGTGAGAGATGTAGCATTTGACACTTTAGGTCATGACAGATTTAAATAGCTTTTCCCAAACCTCAAGATTTTTTCCCCCCTTATTATTGAATACATTTGTGTTTGAACTCTTTATGCCTCATGAGGCCTTGGTGGGGTCACCTGACCTTGACGTACGGGGGAGCATCTTCATTTGTTTTATCATTTGGTTGATTAGGTTGGCCGACCGGGTCATAAAAAAGCCAGAATGGCACGGACACGTTCAGACTTCCTGACTCGCGGTTCAAACGCCATGGGAGAGGGGGAGTCAGAGGAGGAGGAGTATGATGAGACCCCTCTGTTTCCTGGCACACCCCTCCCCAAGCAGGACTCAGAGGAGAGCGCACTAGAGGCTTGTCACAGTGACTCCGAAATGGTAATTTAACGGTCTGTGTTAGCGCAAGCAGGCCCAGCAGCAAGATCTCTCTCTACAGCTAACTCCTCCAGAAGAAGCTGATAGATCGCCTTACTGACCACCTGAAACGCTTCTACACTCCCTATCCAGTTGAAGGACATAGTCTTCAACCACAGATGCTGAAACACCTTTTGAAAACTATTCTCATCTGTGATGGCAGGTGTTTTCTGCATCCACATAGAAATACTGTACAAATAAAATATACAATGCAAAGAATCATTTGCATTTTTAATTAGGGCTGTCATTAGATTGAAAAAATACTGATTAATCTTAAATTTAGAATTTTCCTCAATACATACATACAGTAGTTTACTTCACTATATACTGTAAATGGGGGCATTCCATAGACTTCTATTGCTAGATATAAATATAATAACCTAACCAACACCCTACATGAAATTTAACCTACACAAACTAGTGTCTTTGGACGTTATGCTGACACCTATTGGTGGGGATGTACTGTAACATCACACAAAACTATGTTACTGTACATTATAAACATATTTGTCAAAAGCACTGTTCATTTTGCATTAGCCATTAAAACCTTCTTTTTTTTTTACAGTTGTTTATTGATATAATTTCAATTAATCTTATGAGGTTTCATGTTAACTTTGACAGCCCTGATTTTAGTCCATTTTCAACCAGCACCAAAATATAGTAGATAAAATTCTCTCACACTTGAGCCAGAACTTCTATTTTCTTCAATACATTGGTTCATCTACCAGCCACACAGATATGGATGGCTTCCATCAGAAGTTTACGTTTCTTTCCTGATGTTAAAGGCATCTTGCATAAAGTTTAACCCACGGCACTCTTCACAATCTGACCATGCTGCTTGTCTAGACATAACAACTATGATAGTTATAAGTTGCTCCTTCCTGAACAGCCAAGACCTTCAACTGTGAAATTCTGCTCTCTACACTGCCACCTTGGATAAAGAGTACTGCATGCTTTAACATCTAGCTCTGTCTTCTCTTCTGCAACTATTCACCAAGGCTAAAGCCATGGACCTGTCATGGCGCACATTCTTCATTTCTTATTCTGTAGCTCTCTTTTCAATAATCACTCTTTCCAGTCTTGTTGGTTAACAGTACAGTAGAATCCAGTCATTATTTGGGTCATTTTATGAAACTGGTGCCTCTTTTTTATATCAAAGTGGTAATTTGATTAATGTTGGGTTAAAGTAAAAACTTTAACAGTTCTTCAGTTTACTTAGCTGTTATTGATTTGTGCTCATTATTTGATTTAGATCATTATAAGATTTAATGCTGATATTTCTGCATTTACCCACAGTATAAAATAAATTCTTAATTTGTTGAAATGAAGGATACTTATATTATGGTAACAGGGTTGACACATAAACTGGGGATTAGATGCCAGGACTTTTAAATGAACTATTTTCAAATAAAATTCGAATACAAAATAACACAAGTAGTTACTGTATTCATTATTATTTAAATTATGCAAAAGGTACCCATTTTGTAGAATGACCCATCTAGCTTTGGTTAAATACATTAGTGTTGTAGAAAACATTGATTTAACCACTTAGTGCTTTCAGACTATGTTAAGGAGCAACACATGAAGAGTTCAGATGCAAAAGCCTCTATTAGTACGTCTGACGATTTTCTTTAAAATTAGCATTTCTTTCTGGCTACTATGTATAGGTTTCTATGTAAATACTGGTACTTCTGAATGGGTTGAGGCTGGGATTTAAAGCATTTGAAGTGAAAGTACTTGATGAACATATACGATGTGTGGAGAGCATTCACTCAGTACCGTTATCTCATTTTTGACCAAGATGGCTTTTAGAGGTTTTTGCATTGGAACTCTTCACATGTTCTTACTCTTTGTGCCTGTTGTAAATGTTTAAAACTGACACTACCTACCTGAAAATAGTGACCAAAGTGAAAGGAAAAGGCAAAGTGTCCATTTAATGGCTTATATTGAGCTATAGAAAGTTTTGACAGACAAAGCATGCCGATTACCGGCAGTCAGAGACCTTTGCTCTTACCTAGTATATGTAATGATCTCTTTCAGACGGTCACAGCCAATGAAGAGCAGAAGAACATGTATAAAGCCATGTCATCTGGAGAGCTGGGCAAAAGTGATGCGAGGAAGAACTCTCATGGAGATGGAAGGTGCTTGTTTTTTCACGAACAGTTAGTTGTGAATTAGTTTTGAACAGTTATCTGAAATTCAAGATTAAAATATTTTCATTAGATGTTCATTTTAATCTTAATTTAATCATTCTCATATTGTTCCAAAACGTATTGATTCCTCCCCCCCTCCCCATGAAACAGATATTGCAGAATGCCCCAACTGTTTGGGGCAAAGCACCCTAGAATTAGTACGCTCATCACTGCTGGTTTTTCACACATAGAATTATTGTGTCTAAGCAAGCAAAAAAAAAAAAAGAAGGGGCTGAAACATGAAGTAAATGAAATAAAATTAAGTATTTGGATACTCTATTTCATTAAACTATTGCTGTCCTTGTCAACGTGTATTGTCGGTAGGGTTCGTGGTAAAATGCGGTTTTGGGGAAAGGCAAGGCATGCAGAGAAGAAAACCTCGCGAGAGCGGCTGCTGTGTGGCAGTGATACTTTGGAAGGAGACTATGCTGAAACGGCAATTCTAATGGAAGAGGGTGAGTCGTCAGAAAAACAGCTTCATTAAAATGTTTCAAGTATATTGAGTTTTGAAGAACTCTTTTGGTCATGAAAGCACTGCCATTCTGTTTATTCAGGGGTAGAGCGCCTGTCCCCACCTCGAAGCCCAGACCTAACGTTACAGAGGGAGTTTAAAGAGAATAAAGACCCGTCCCCTAAAGTGAAGCGCAGACGAAGTGTGAAGATCAGCAGTGTGGCTCTAGAGCCCGTCCAGTGGCAGAACGATGCCCTGCAGATACTCACATGTGCTAATGACTACAGGAGCATGAATGACTTCCTCATGAAGAAGGTGATGACTGTTTTCTACTTGAATTTGCATTTACTTATTGATGAGGCGTTGTCCTCATAACCTTGTTTTAATCTTACAGATTACTGATTTGGACACAGAAGATGGTAAGAAAGACACGATGGTGGATGTTGTCTTCAAAAAGGCCCTAAAGGAGTTCCGCTTGAATATCTTCAACTCATACTCAACAGCTTTAGCTGTAAGTACCTTAATAAAGCATTTGTTTTACTGTTATCACCCCAAAATTATTCATATTGCATTGATTGAAAACATATGACATTTGGTTATTTTATCTTTGCAAAAGCAAGTGAGTGTGAATGTCCCTTAAGGGATGTGATGTATTGCTTGCTGTCACATTGTGCCTGGTTAGAACATTATGTCAGAAACAGATATATTGTTTTTGCTCTGTGTGCAGATGGACGATGGGAAGAGCATTCGTTACAAGGATCTCTACGCCCTCTTTGAACAAATCCTGGAGAAAAATATGCGTCAGGAGCAGAGGGACTGGAGCGAGTCACCGGTGAAAGTTTGGGTCAACACCTTCAAAGTCTTCCTGGATGAGTTCATGACAGAGCACAAACCTCAGGACAGCAGCATGAGCAGGGTACAGTGTTAACACAGTCAATGGCACTCTTCATGAACAGGATATACAAAATAGGGCTTGCAGAAAATAATAGGGTGGAACAGGATGGCGGGTAAATTTTGGGACATGGGTCTGAAATAAAAATGAGATAAATGTAATATTTAAATAAAATGTATAAAAGTGAATTAGAAAATATTTTTTAAAATAATATGCCAGGTAAGGCATAATAGTTCTCTCTCTAAAGAGAATTCGATTTGAATTCGATTTTTAATATATGGCTATATTAAAAAAAAAATTTTTTTTTTTTTTAATAGAGTTTAAGATAGATAAATAGATAGATTAATGTAGATTATAAAAGATTATCTTATTTAAAATTTGCTGAAATATGCTTTTAAATCATTTAATGCATAGTTTGATGTGTTCAGTTCCTCATAACAGCATAATATGTAATAAATATTTTGCTGAATATCTCAAAGCAGTCCAGTGGTCAAATATTATTTTATTTATTGTTCCATAAATTTAAATAATAATGTAAGATTATGTATTACATTCTATATGACTGTATATTTATACATGTATTAATATAGAGAGAGAGAAAGAGTGTGTTTTATGAATCTATTTTCATAGCTTTTTTCCCCTCCCAAAGGCACCCAAACCAGACCGCAAGAAAAGAAGGAAAAAGGATACTGATATAGTGAGTGGAATCACAGACAGAGGTGTCATAAACTGAATTAGCATTTCCGTTTTTCATGGAAATCAACTGACACTCTGACTTTGTTTCAGGTGGAGGAGCACAATGGCCACATATTCAAGTCAACTCAATACAGTATTCCCACCTACTGCGAGTACTGCTCCTCCCTCATCTGGATGATGGACAAGGCCTGTGTCTGCAAACGTGAGTTTCATGTCAACAGTATCTGCTTCAAAATGACCCTGAACTCAATTCAACATAATCAGATTGTTTACCATCAAGCCTGTGGCCTCTCGGCTCGAACAGAGAACAGTTTAGCTTTGTAGAGCAGGATGTTTTCTGCCATGATACAGTGAGAAGAATGTTGACTTGAATTGAGTTTATTTTAGGTGGTGGTGCTAAATCTGTGCCGTATGTACCGCTGTTGAAAATGAGAATGAATGAGATGTCTGTGTCTTGTGTAGTGTGCCGCTATGCGTGTCACAGAAAGTGCTGTCAGAAGATGACCACCAAATGCAGCAAGAAGGTAAGGAATTTTTCTCTGCTAAGTGCGTTCATGTGATTTGGGCTGTAATAAAGGATGCTGGCACTTACAGCATGTTTCTTTCTTTCCATGTGCAGTATGACCCTGAACTTTCGTCAAGGCAGTTTGGTGTGGAATTGTCCCGTCTGACCAACGATGAGCGAGCGGTGCCTTTAGTCGTCGAGAAACTTATCAATTACATTGAGATGCATGGCCTGTACACAGAGGGGATCTACAGGAAATCTGGATCCACCAATAAGATTAAGGAGTTGAAGCAGGGTCTGGACACGGGTATGACACACAAGAACACAATAGGGCTTTTCACACTGCGTTTTTTACCCCAGGTTATCGTTGTTCTAAACCAGGGGTGCCCAAACTCGGTCCTGGAGGACCGGTGTCCTGCAGAGTATAGCTCCAGCTTGCCTCAACACACCTGCCTGGAAGTTTCTAGTATGCCAAGTAAGACCCTGATTAGCTGCTTCAGGTGTGTTTGATTAGGGTTGGAGCTAAACACTGCAGGACACCGGCCCTCCAGGACCGAGTTTGGGCACCCCTGTTCTAAACCCTGCTTTTGGAAAAAATGTGAAATGATGATGGAAACACATGAATTGGAGCAAAGAAGAGAACATTTCATTCTTACCTTTATAGTTCAAAAAGTCAATACAGGAAACCTTGATAGTACAGTCGACAATTCATAATATGAGGATGCGCAATGCTAGAGCCTTTATGTACAGATTGTGTGCTGTGTTCATCCATTCAGTGACACTGACACCACAAATAGAATGTTAACCTGGGCTTTAGGAATGTACAGTGTGAAGCGTCATCTTATGAATACCCAGGATTAACCGCTAACCCTAGGTAGATTATGTGTGAAATGTGAAGACAGCTCACTCCGGATTCCATTTACCCAGGGTTTAGAATGACCCAGGGTTAACTATTTCAAGTGTGAAAAGCCCTAATGATTCCTGGCTACAAGAAACTGAAGTTTTATGCTTTAAACCAGGGGTTTTCAAACTGTTTCTAGAGCCTTTCCAGCATTGCACATCTGGGATGTTTTCCTCACATCCAGCTCAGGTCATAGAGTACTGTACTAATAAACTTAAGTTATAATAAACTAAAGTTACATTCTCTATAAACATCTATTAATATCTTACAATTTTTTCTTCACAAGTAAATGCATCTGATTTTAAGGATGTTTAAAATATTTTAGTGGAACACAATATTTTGATATATTGGCCATTGTATATTACTAACTATCTAATCTATAGCAATATATTAACTACAGTGCCCTCCACTAATATCGGCACCCTTGGTAAATATGAGCAAAGGTGAACTAGGTTTTTTCTCTAGTTCACGTTGGCCACAATTATTGGCACCCAATTGCAGCGTCCTTTTCCCAAGATAACAGCTCTGAGTTTTCTCCTATAATGCCTGATGAGTTTGGAGAACACTTGACAAGAGATCAGAGACCATTCCTTCATACAGAATCTCTCCAGATCCTTCAGATTCACAGCTCCATGTTGGTGCTTCTTCTCTTCACTTCACCCCACTCATTTTCTATAGGGTTCAGGTCAGGGAACTGGGATGGCCATGGCAGAAGCTTCATTTTATGCTCAGTGACACATTTTTGTGTTGATTTTGATGTTTGTTTTGGATCATTGTCCTGATGGAAGATCCAACCATTATAAGATTCCTAACAGGCCGTCAGGTTTAGATTTTTTATCTGTTGGTATTTGATAGGAACCATGATGCCATATATCTGAACAAGATGTCCAGGACCTCCAGCAGAAAAATAGGCCCACAACATTAAAGATCCAGCATTATATTTAAACATGGGCATGGGGTACTTTTTATCCCTGTTTACACCAAACCCATCTGGTGGCTTTGCTGCCAAAAAGCTCTTTTAACTCTCCTCCTCACCGTGCATTAGGACGATATAGACACATCCTTTTCCAGGCAGATTTGTAACATCTTTAGTTGATTGGAACTTCTTAATTATTCCCCTGATGTTGGAAATGGGGATGTTCAATGCTTTAGCTATTTTCTTACAGCCACTTTCTATTTTGTGAAGCTCAACAATCTTCTGCACACCAGAACTATATTCTTTGGTTTTACTCCTTGTGATAGATGAGGGGGATTTGGCCTTTGTGTTCCTCATATTTATAATCCTGTGGAACAGGACGTCATGGCTGGAAAATTTCATGCTCCTAACCCTAACCCAGGTGTGCTAAAAATGAAAATATGAATGGGAATATACTTCAAAGATACTTTACTCGTAAGAATTATTTTTGTGTATACATAACTCCTTAGTATATATATATATATATATATATATAGTTTGACATCTGTTATTTTCTGCCCTCAGATGTAAATGGCATGAATCTGGACGACTATAATATTAATGTCATTGGCAGCGTTTTCAAGCAGTGGTTACGTGACTTGCCAAATCCTCTGATGACCTTTGAACTGTATGAGGAATTCCTGCGGGCCATGGGTAAGCAGATGTGCACGTCAAGCATGATCTATCACACTTACTGCATTAGCATTCAGTATAGCAAATACAGTTTTGGTGTCTTATTTGCTTGTCCTATTGGGGGTCTTAGTTTTTTTTTTTTTTATAAGTGAAGTTCTATTTGTGAAGCACATTGAAATTGGTACTGGTGGACAATGTGGCATATGATTTCCCAGAGACACCCCAAGCCATCCCAGTATAAAAATAGTATAAGAATTCTATTGAATTCTAAGAATTGATTACATAAAGTATTACATAGCATAAAGATCACTGAAGTTGTGTTGACCTAGATTCTTACTTAATTACCTTTACATTACATTTATTTCCCTTGTCTTGAATTTAAATTTGTTTTAATAATTTTTTATAGGTTTTGAACTCTTGAAATAGATGAAAATAATGTTTTAACCGTAAATGATTAAAGAATTAAAACTACTTTTTTTATATATATATATATACATTTTTGTACATTTTATATACGAGTCTGCAGATGCAGTACTGTTATAAAGGCCCTTTTGAAAGCCTGTGTTTAAATCAGTTACACATTTATAGAGGCATAATGTTCAAACATTATGGTAATGTCTCTTCAGGTCTCCAGGACAAAAAAGAAGTGATTAGAGGGGTTTACTCTATAATCGACCAGCTCAGTAGAACTCATCTGAACACGCTGGAGCGCCTTATTTTCCATTTGGTCAGGTGAGACGGCAACTGCAACTTCCCATTTCACCAAAATAATGTATGCAAGAATGACTGCTTTAAAAACATTGAGTGGGGATACACAATCAAGCAACAAGCAATAAATCCTATCCCTTTGTCGACTGCTTGTCTACAGGATTGTCCTGCAGGAGGAGACAAACCGTATGTCTGCTAATGCGCTGGCTATCGTGTTTGCCCCCTGCATCCTGCGCTGCCCTGACACTACCGATCCTCTGCGGAGCGTTCAGGACATTGGGAAAACCACAGCGTAATGGGCAACTCTTACTTCATATAGTTTGATGGTACTAGTTCAGTTTATTTAGCCTAGTGATATAATTAAAATACTTCTGTTTTTTCTTTCAAAGGTGTGTCGAGCTGATCATTTGCGAGCAGATGAATAAGTATAAGGCCAGACTGAAGGACATCAGCACTCTGGAATTTGCGGAGAACAAAGCCAAGAGCCGACTAACATTCATCCGCAGGTCCATGGTAAGAGTTAAGAGTGAATTTCATGTTTCCACAGACATTCACATAACCCAGATGTCCAAAACCTTGCTAAATAGGGCATATTTCTGGATCAACATCCTTGTTGGACCTGAAACAACATTCTTATCAACCTTTTATTTCCCCTCTTATTTTAGAGGTAGTTAATGATAAGATTTGGCTGACAGGAATTTTGTTCCTTAACCTACAACATTAAAAGATGTTGATCCAGGAAGTAGGATAAGTGTTGGTCCTGGAACATTCTTATCTCCAATCTCAAACTTCATACCAAACCTACCCCTAAAATCAGAGGAAAATGACAGGTTGATGAGAATAAAGCTCCGACCCCAGTTATAAGCTTAATGTTCACCCTAAAATCTGACAGATACATTGCTAGACCAAAGATACATAGATACATCAAGACCAAAAAGGATATTGTTCCAAGATCATGTCCTACTTGAGTAAATCACCCACATTAGCTCTGCCTTGACACTAACCCCAGTCTCTCCTTTCCCTCCCCTTTCCTCTCTAATCCAGAAACCTGTAATAATTGCTATTAGATTTATGAGCATAACCCGCAGTGCTGCGGCGGTAGGTATTTATGTACTCGCTGTTACTGTAAGTGTCATCACATATGCCGTGTCCCAGCACTGTGTGGTCTGTCTGTCTTCATGATCATGACATCCAGATGCTTGATCAAGAAACTCAAGAGCTTAGATGTTAGCTAATCACTTAGCACTTTATTATTATAGACAAAATCACCTTGTTCCATTACATTCTCATTATGTTGCACAGCATGACTTGGGAATTTTTGAGATAAACATTTCTGTTGCATTCACTACTTGTGCTTAATATTTTGCTTTCTCTGGTTGGTAATGTGTAGTCAAATTCATTCAGAAAGGTAACAGCTTTGGGCTGAATTGAGTCTGTGTTGTCCATCCAGGGTCCAAACTGAACGATTGCAAGAGCCGAAATGGCTACTTGGCCACTTTAAATGTTTCCACAAACACACACACACACAATTTCAATTGCTGTGTAAAAATACATTTCTGACCATCACTGACATACGTGAGTCAAGTCACAAAATAATAACAGCCTAATTAATAATTTGCCATTGGGACAAAAACATTCATTTTGGACCCTGTATTCATGTTTTGTTTCTGTAGTCAAAAAGAGTCTTGAGAATGAAACTAGCAAACACTTTGTTTGATTGTAGCAGTATTAATAGCAAAACCTGATCTGTCTCGAGTTCCACCACTCGTAATGTTGTCTTGTGTTTTGTTTGACAGGGTAAGGGCCAGGCGCACAAGGTGAGTTATCACACACCGTCTCCTCCAGTCAGTCCTCGGTCTCCAACTGCCCCGGAGGTGATGCAGGAGAGCGGAGATGAGGAAGTCAGCAGAGATCCAGAAGTCTCTGAGCAACAACAAGTTGCCATGCAGCAGGAAGAGAAAGTCCTGACCGAACAAATCGAGAGTCTGCAGAAAGAAAAGTAAGAGAACTGGCTTTAGCATCTGGGATTGGATATTAACTTGTATATTAATACTCAAAGGGTACGAAACACCCAGAAGACTTTCTATATATAATGTTCACTATACATCCAGGGCACACTGCATTGGGTATCCCACAATGCAATGTACCAGACTTGTCAGTTGTAATACCATCTCCTTTTGACCTTAGCGTTTGATCATTCTCCTGAGAAATTGAGACATTTTTACTCAAAATTAATTATTAAAAGATACAAAAATCAGTTATGAACACAATCAAAGCTTGAGATTTGTTTGATCATCACCTCATAGGGAGGAGTTGACGTTTGAGATGCTTGCTCTGGAGCCGCGGGCGTCCGATGATGAGACTCTGGAGTCAGAGGCCTCTATAGGCACAGCAGACAGCTCTGAAAACCTGAATGTGGACTCCGAGGGAGCCATTTCGGACTTCTCTGGTGAGTAACTACTGAATGTTGCTAGTAAATTGGGTTGGATAAACTTTATTAATTTTTTAATTTACATGTCACAGCAGCACACCACAATAATCAACAATAAATAAATAAAAATATAAAAAAGACATTCACAACAGGAAGTAATTCCCAGTATCAATTTCACAAAGCATTATGATTAAATACAACAAAGTGATTCTGTAATACAATCTAACATCTTGTATTACACTGATTGTACAATCTAACAGCAGTTGGTAAAAAAGACTTCCTAAATTAATTTATTGAATTAATCTTGAGCTAAATGTACTCACAAGGGCTCAAACTGTTTCATGAAAGAGGTGACAATCATGGTTCACCATAGGCCGCATTTACCCTGCATGATTGAAGTGACCCAATTCCGATTTTATTTCCTCCCATGTGGCACAGATCGGATATGGCCCACAAACGTGTAAGCAGGCAAAAAGCACATGGATTCTGATATTCTCAGATCGGTTTCAGGCCTCATTCATATGTGGAAATAAGAGGCGATCTGGCGCTGAAATGTGTTGCTTTTAAAATCATGCTGAGTGCTCGTTGCCACTGTTATCAGTGACGTGTACACAGACGAGCGCTTCAATCTATCGCTAATTGTTGTGGAGACTCTATTCGTTCGGGTGTAATCTCATCTGCTTTTCTATACAAAGTATGCTTTATTAATAGTGTGTGCAGAGTTTGGTCTTTTAATATCACTGTCTAATGCATTGAGCCACGTCAAGTTAAGCCTGTGTAGTGTAAATGCAGATATCGAATGCGGGTCACTTTTAAAAGAAGGTGTAAGCGGGTCGTCAAAAAAATCGGATATAGTCAAAAAATCCGATTTGGGCATCCAGATCTGCAGTGTAAATGCAGCCATAGAGACCAAATTGTAAATCATCTCCTCTATGAAGGGTAACACACTCCCCACAACAGAACCTGCCTTCTTTATGAGCTTGTTTAATTTGTTCCTCTCCTTTTCCAACAATCCCCCTCCCCCCAACAGGTGACAGCATGAATGATATTGACCCTTCTTATAATGAAAGCATTTTAAAACATTATCTTTCCAAACTACATGCTGCTTTTTAATCCACGTCATTTTCACAACCCATTTTACTTCCATAACACGATGCATTTCCAAGTACAACAGGAAATGCAACGAGAATAGATTTAGGTTTGATTTTGGAATTGATTAGATCATGAAAAATGATCAGTACACGAGTTTGACAATGACAATGAGTTTGCTAAAATATTACATAAATAGCTGTTGACTTTTTATTATCCCAAATTATCCAGTAACGTACAGTATTATCCGATAGCCTGTGCAACCCAATGATTGATGTCAGTGGAAGAGACATTTAAGACAAAGTGATTACAATGTGTTCAAAGTTGTATGTGTTGGGAGTTAACATGCACTGATAAAACGTAAAAAAAAAAAAGCCTAGAATGTTCATTAAAGTAAATAAAACCTTCCTAAAGTTCACCCAAAAAAGACCATTTTTGTCATCATTTACATCACCTTAAAAACATTGTAAAAATAATTAATGTTACTTGAGCGTTTTAAGACAAGTCTTCTTATGAGACACAAACGCTTTATATCACATAATTTAGACGTTTATGTACATATAAACATTGATCAACGCACATATATGGAGCTATCAAAGAGAGCATATCACATATGGTAAATGGGTTTTGAACAACATGATGACAATTTTCATTTTTGGTTGAATTAACCCTTTAAAGGAAATACATTTAGATTTCATGTTGTTTTTAAGGGTGCTCCGATCAGGATTTTTGGAGCCGATCACAGGAAGCAGTATCTGCTGATACGATAACCGATACCCATCTTTTTGAAGCCGCCTTTTATCATGTAGATTTATTTATAGTGATGCTGCAATCAGGATTTTTACAGACATTTATTCAGGGCTTGAATTTCATTTTTGAAAATGGGGGGATTCCCCTCTTAGGTGACTCTTGTGGGGGGCTTTTCCCCCCCCATTTTTTTTCAATAGCTTAAACAAAGCACAAGCCTGATTTCGTGAGCTGTATGTGAAGTGGCCTTATGTTTTATATCCAAACAATGACATATAAACCAGCAATGCAGTGTTTTGTCACTTTAAAACTGGAAAACCTATACTAGTTTGAATGCCAGTGCCCTGCTGTCATACTAATGGAAAAGAAAATTAAGATCCCAGCACTGGTGCTCAGTGATTTTCCAGCACACCTCTCATTGCTGTTCTGTCTTTCAACAGAGCGAGGCCCAGCGCTGGCCGCCTTGAGGCCCAAGAAGTCTGAAGGGAAGAGCAGGAGAGTTCTGCGAAAGCAGCCTGAATCCCTGGACTCCATGGATTCCAGTTCTACCGTCTCCTCTGTGTCGTCTTCCTATGTGCAACCACCTGTGCGAACCCATAAATTACGCTTGCGGTCCAAATCGCCTTCGACCCAATTATATCTATCCAGCCCGCCTGAGAGCCTGGACCAGCCCGAGCATGATGGAGAGGAGAGACCGCAGTTCACCAGCCGCGGCACCTTCAACCCAGAAAAAGGCAAACAGCAGCTGCAAGGTGCCAAGAACTCACTTCAGAGGCACCGTGACCCTCCGATGGGCGGAGGGCCGAAAAGAGATCCAGACTTGCCGCCCCAGCAGGTGGTGGTGTACGGCAGCAACGAGTTCATGGTATGAAGGCCACAAGGTTCCACGTCCATCCACGAAAAAAAGAGCTCATCCCTCCCTGCTAGCTCACTTGAGTTCACATTTGCTGCATTATAGTCCTTAAGTGCCATGTTGACCGGAAAAGCAGGAAGAGAGAGCTGGGCAGCTTTCCGATCTGCATGTGAGAAAACAGCTCTGTTGGGCACGTGTGGTGAAGGAAAGCAGGGCAAAGGGAATGCTGAACCATTCCAGTGTGGAATGATCTCCTTTGGGCTTTGATTGGCAACTCCGTGACTGTGATCGGGGTCCAAAGGCGGGAGACGAAGCCATTGATGAACTCCACAAAGTCAAGCTAAACCATGGGCTGCTTTAACGTTTACAGCATTCACTACAATTTATTTGCCCCCAAGCCTATTTAATAAATTTTATGTACATGGAATATAGAAATCTATATAAATATATTATGTGATATAAAGTGTACAAAGCCAGAGCACCAGTGACTGCTGGGTTGTTGAATTCATATATCGTGTATCGGTCATGAATGAGTTGGAGAGAGAAGCGAGGACGTTGGGTTTGTGTGGATGTGTGTGAGGCTCCTCCGTATGTGTGTGAGTGTGTGTCTTATGAAAAAAACCTCTGGATATGTTTGTGCTGCTTTTTGTATTGTGCTTGGATGGAAATGATGCCATTAAAGGGACCAAGCAAACTGGTGTTATAATGCCAGAGGATCCCACACTAAATGAAGACTCGAAAGTCTTCCAAATCACGTCAACAGCCATCCATCAGTTGGTTGAATTCATTTAGATTCTCATTCCTATTATTTGTGCTTATCTGCCTCAGTCTTGTTCTAAGAAACCAGTGTTAAAACGCAAAACCGCAGAGTTACTGGATTACTTATGGTATTCTAAATGTAATAATTTTACTGAATTTTAGGATCATTCATGCCCTGAAAACATGATTCCCCTTGCCATAAAATGACTTAATATATTACCAAATGATCTCTTCTGCCTGTATATATATATATATATATATATATATATATATATATACTGTAATGTGATATTTCCCCTTTTTTTCCTAAATATTTAATTATTAAATAAAACCTGGCTGTAATCCACACAAGTGCATTTTGGGGGGCTATGCTCAGATTTGACTAACAGCTCTCATTCAACTGCTGTATTAGCAGCGTTGCAGAGATTCTGATATCTCTCCATTGTTAGTTATTGATACAAGGAAGCTGAACAAAATCAGATATTGTACTTGTGCCACCAGCAAAATATTCCTGTGTCTAGACCATTTGTCATTTCTTTGTCACTGTGGTTTGTGCAAAGATCATGAACATCAAGATTAATTTGTCACCCTCGTGATAAACTGCGATTATACCCAGTAACATGGCTTGTTAAGGGTTTCTGCGTGTGATGATGTTTAGCAAAGGCTGTGTTTCTCACAGGAACGACTCTGTGGACATAAACGCATGACATCAATCTCAGAATGAAGACTGTTAAATTGTTAATTTATAATGTGTTATTTAGATCTCATGCATTGCGGACACTGGTCACACCGCCTGCAGGATTGAGCAAACAGCTGTCTGGCCTCAGATTTGTCATATGGAGTCAAGTGTTGAACAAGTATTTCTTATGAAAGAAAAAAAAAGTCAATGGTTGTAAAATAAATGACACATTTTGAACAAATAAGAACAGTTTGTTAAATGAAAGATCTGAGTTATTGTGCAACTATTACGGCTTAACTTGTTCCAGCCACATTCAGTTTTGTATTGATTTAAGCACTTGGAGGAAAGCTTGAATTACCGGTTTGTCCTGCAAGCCTGAAAGAGGTGCTCGAGTCTCTTCTCCCTTTGCCAAATGGGTGCATCCGGCCTAAGGGAATTTTAATTGTGTTAGAGCTGTTTAACTTGTCTTACTGCAGGCAAAGGTGCGGAATTTTATATATATATATATTTGACTGAATAGCCATCAATTGATAAGAACACAACAAAAGAATAAAAATTGATACTGTAGTGGTACTACATTGCGTTTCTCCTGCTACTATATATATATATATATATATGGTAATGCACCATGCTCTTCCCTTTCACAGTACGTTTCTATACGTGTAGCAGGGTAACTCCACATCAGAACTCGAGTAGTATTAATTTCAAGCAGTGTAAGAAGAGCTGGAACATGAGATCAAACTAACCCCGGAGTCACGTGACGCCTGATGCCATCACGCATGCGCAGCGAGGTGTGTGTGTGTGTGTGTGTGTGCGCTCAGGGAGTTGCGCGAGCACCGATACACCTGTGCTTACCGCAAGACAAAATGAACATGAGATCAAACTAACCCCGGAGTCACGTGACGCCTGATGCCATCACGCATGCGCAGCGAGGTGTGTGTGTGTGTGTGTGTGCGCTCAGGGAGTTGCGCGAGCACCGATACACCTGTGCTTACCGCAAGACAAAATGTCTGGATTCGATAACAATCCCTTTGCCGAACCAGTTGATGTCAGTCCTTTTCAGGTAAATAACTACTGCTTTATTATGTCTTCAGTAATGTGAGAAATGTTACACAAGTTGTTTGCGCTGCAAACCTGTTCGGTTGGTATGGAGGTGAGATTGACAGGCGTTCAGCCAATCAGATTTCACTGTTAGGCTGACAAGCCAATCAGAGCGATTGTGATGACGATAGAGGAAGTGGTATTTTGTTAAATTAAATCGTGTTGTTTTCAAAAATAACAACTGAGTTTTTGCTGCGGTAGTTACCGTCATAACCTTGTTTATCATTCTGTAAAGAACGTAAAGGATTTTCCCATCATAAAAACCTACCTTCGCCTCACCGGACAGGTGCATCTCATTTAATTTCCTCCGCGTTTGTGAATTATAACGGCCACGGATAACGTATATACTTTTTTCGATACAAATATAATAAAAGAAAAAATAAACCGATACTTTGGTCGTTTCAGAGATGTCGTGGTACTGAACAATTTCTGAATTCATGTACTGGCAGTATTTACATGGCACTCCAAGGTACTTTAAAGGGATAGCTCGCCCAAAAATGAAAATTCTGTCATCATTTACTCACCCTCAAGTAGTTCCAAACCCCGTATAAATGTCTTTGTTCTGCCGAACAGAAAGGGAGATATTTTGAAGAAAGTTTGTAACCAGGCTGTTTTGGGGCACCATTGACTTCCAAAGTAGGAGAAAAAAAAATACTATGGAAGTCAGTGGTTCCCCAGAACTGCTCTGTTTCCCACATTCTTCAGAATATCTTCCTTTGTGTTCTGCAGAACAAAGACATTCATACAGGTTTGAAACTACTTGAGGGTGAGTAAATGATGACAGAATTTTCATTTTTGGGTGAACTATCCCTTTAAGCAACGCCAGGGCACATGTCCAAAAACCGTGCATTACATTTAAAGTGTTAAATGAATAGACAAGTCATATTTCATGTGCCTGACAGGATCCGTCTGTTACTCTGGTGACCAACACTGCAGCTGATGGCATGGGAGAGTTTAACCCATTTACAGCCGCTGCTCTGGTAAGCATGCATTTGAACATTTTCAAGTCAAAAGGCTTGTCACACGTCCTCTTGGCATTGATTTGATATCTAGTCAAAGCATAGATCAAAAAAATTCAATAATTTGTCATAATTTGAAACCAAAATGATCCTTCTGGGAGCCAAAAAAAGAGCAATTCAAATCAAAGATCATGCTGAGGGAATTGAAATCTTATTTTTGATTGTATTTATTCATAATTTGAGTTGATATCTTATTGGATCTTTGATTTGATTCCTTTAGGATAGTTTGCAATTCTGATAGGAATTCCTTTTGGAATGTTTTAATTTTAACAGCTGTTCTGTATGTAATCAAAGAGTTTCCCCCCCCACTCTCTTATAAGGATGAGCGCACCATTCCCATATCAGCCACCTCTCAAGCAGCTGTCCTTCAGACCACAGTGGAGCCCAGTCCACAAGTCAGTACAGTGTTGATGCTGAACTATACTTAACGCATGATATTTGTATGCTTATGCATATTTAAGCTGCTCATAAAAAGGCAACCAAACAGATGTTAGGTTTATACATAAACCTCAGTGCAGTACAGCAGCATGTATCTGGTTCCTCCATCAGGCCAGTGTCGCTGCAGGACAGGCTGAGCTCCTCCGTCAGCAAGCGGAGCTGGAGAAGAGGGCTGCTGAGCTGGAGCGTAAAGAGCAGGAGCTTCGGGATCGAAACACGGCATTAGGTGAACCACACTATACATATCTTATTCTGTAAGACTTTTTTCTGTGGTCACGTGGACTCTTGACATGACGCAAACTGTTCGCTTGCAGGTAAAGAAAACAACTGGCCACCTTTGCCTGATTTTTTCCCAATAAAACCATGCTTCTATCAGGATTTTAATGAAGAAATCCCTGTGGAATATCAGAGGGTTTGCAAGATGATGTACTACCTCTGGATGTGTAAGTGAATGCAGAGTTCACAATGGAATAGTTTGCTATAATTATACTGCAGCACGGTTATTCAAATAAAACGGCAAAAAAATGTCTCAAACTAAATAAACTAATAAATGAATGTGAATAAAAACTAACTAGACACAAATAAAAATGCTAAAGAAGCACAACAAAATTACTAAAGCTAAATAAGTAACATTAAAGTGTACAACAAAATATACAAATAAAATCTCATTTAAATGATAAACAACAACTATAATAGTAAATCAATGAAACTAAAATAACATGACGTATAACATAAAATGTTATGGTGTTAAATCGTAGTTCATATTGTTTGCGCTTCATTTGTCATACTGGAAATGGAAGGTTAAATCAAACACATTCCCTTTTGGGATGCATTATCTCATGCACGGTTTTCTGTTGTATACTGCTCATTTTGGCCAGGCATATTGTGCCTATTATACATGCTACGTACTGCAAAATATTTTGAGTTGTATGCTTTAGCAAACATTTGAGGAAATGTTCATACTCTAAGTAAGCCTAGATAACGGTTCACATCTTCTTTTTCGACAGATCACAGTGTGACGCTGTTTCTGAACTTGCTGGCCTGTCTGGTGTATTTCACTGTATCTACTCAGAATGGAGTGGACTTCGGACTCTCAATCCTCTGGTTTATTTTGTTCACTCCTGTGGCTTTCCTCTGCTGGTACCGACCCGTATACAAAGCCTTTAAGTGAGTTCAGTGTTGATGTTTTGCATTATTTTCATGCCAGCCTCACAGCCTCATTACAGTAATGACAGAAGTCACCACAGGTGAATAGGATAAAAATGTTTAACTTATACTGCAGATATCACCACACTTCCCCAGTCAATTAATCACAGTACATTAAAACTTAGAATTTTTCTAAAATGCTGCTTAAAGATTAAAACGAGGTGTTATCTAATTAAATATGCACTTATTTGAATATGTACCTGAATATTGGATAAAGCTAAAATCTTTTTCATTTTGTTGACAGGTTTTTTTATAGAACGGATATAGAATCTCCTTTTATCACTTTTATGAATATAGAAAAATACTGTGAACAGCCAGGGGGAAAAAATCACCATGTTTTTAGGATTAAATGTTATTTAAATCAGGTGCACAAAGCCCTCTGTAAAAACCTTCAGGATGTATTTAGGACTAAAACTGGAACGTTTTGTGTAAGTGCTACTAAAGTAGAGATTTCTGGCTCAGTGCAGGAGACTTACTTTGAGAAAACAGCCTTCAAAGATATGCATTGTTGGGGGTGGGCGATACCACTTATTTTGTGTTCGATACGATACCGATATTTTTCAAGGCAGTATCATCAATATCGATACCGATTCGATACTTCTGAACTAAACTTTTAAATTATGAAATGTATTAAATTATTAAATTACTAAGAGTAAAATGGGTAATGATAAGCACTTAACTTTGTTTAAAACGCATTTTTAACATTCAATACGCCTTAATTGTAACTTATTAGGTTATATTTTTGTTTACACGTGGTTCAAATGTGTTTTTTGTTTACACATGATTCAAATCTATAAATACTACAGTTGAACTACAGTCACTTTAGTAAAACCATGGTTCATTTTCATAAGGGACTGCCGGTGACAGGCTGTTGCATGCATAAAATGCAATCTTTTTATTCTATTAACATTACAGAATAGAACATGATCAATATTATCTTTCAACGTTCAATTTAAATAACTGCACAAACTATGTAGGCTACAATTTCAGTTGGTTTATTGTGAAATAACTCTGTCCTTCTGTCCTCTGATAAGCATTGATCAGTGCTGCCGTTCCCAAAAGCTTTAATGCTTTCTTTATGATACTTTTGGGAAACGCAGCCGTTTGAATGCACTGTCAGAAGTGAGTGAACGCTCTCTGTGATTGATTGGTTCTGTCTTGCAACATTTGCGTGTTCAGATGAGCAGGAAAATAGTTCTATCCTATACACAATTACTCGCTAACAAAGGTTATTCATCCAATTCAATGCATATTGTACACATTATAATTTTTTTGTTAAATAAACAAAACCACTGGTAAATAAAACACACCTTAGTATCGATATTTTTAGTTTGAGTATCGATACTTTCAATACTATTTTCAATACGATATATCGATACTACGGATCGATACGCTCATCCCTAATTGCAATTGAAATCTACAGATAAATATGTGACCCTGGACCACAAAACCAGTCTTAAGTCGCTGGGGTATATTTGTAGCAATAGCCAAAAATACATTTTATGGGTCAAAATTATAGATTTTTCTTTTATGCCAAAAATCATTAGGATATTAAGTAAAGATAATGTTCCATGAAGATATTTTGTAAATTTCCTACTGTAAATATATTAAAACTTCATTTTTGATTAGTAATATGCATTGCTAAGAACTTCATTTGGACAACTTTAAAGGCGATTTTCTCAATATTTAGATTTTTTTTGCACCCTCAGATTCCAGATTTTCAAATAGTTGCATCTCGGCCTAATATTGTCCTATCCTAACAAACCTCACATCAATGGAGAGCTTATTTATTCAGCTTCCAGATGATGTATAAATCTCAATTTCGAAAAAATGGACCCTTATGACTGGTTTTGTGGTCCAGGGTCACAAATAGATATGCAAGTGTAATAAAATAAACACTTAGTTGTGTATTTTGGATGCTTTCTTTCCACTAGTCTGAAAGACAACATGTTATGCAATCAGCATGAAAACAAACTGTAAATATATTAAAACTTCATTTTTGATTAGTAATATGCATTGCTAAGAACTTCATTTGGACAACTTTAAAGGCGATTTTCTCAATATTTAGATTTTTTTTGCACCCTCAGATTCCAGATTTTCAAATAGTTGCATCTCGGCCTAATATTGTCCTATCCTAACAAACCTCACATCAATGGAGAGCTTATTTATTCAGCTTCCAGATGATGTATAAATCTCAATTTCGAAAAAATGGACCCTTATGACTGGTTTTGTGGTCCAGGGTCACAAATAAATATGCAAGTGTAATAAAATAAACACTTAGTTGTGTATTTTGGATGCTTTCTTTCCACTAGTCTGAAAGACAACATGTTATGCAATCAGCATGAAAACATCGGTTTTGCATGTAGTGTCTTACTATAGCTTAATAGTCATGAAAAACAATAAGTAATGTCACAATGTAATCTTTGCGGTTCAGAAAGGTGCTTCAATTACATAGAGAGAGAGGTTTATTGATTTTATTTGAAAGACACGAGTATCGTCATCTTCATCTGTAACTTGTTTCTTTTGTTTGCATTGCAGATCTGACAGCTCCTTCAGTTTCTTCTTTTTCTTTTTCATTTTCTCATTCCAAGTAATAGTGTACATCATTCAGAGTGTGGGGATCCCCGGCTGGGGGAACAGGTGAGGTACTCCATCACTGGCTCTCTTTTAAGTGCGGTGTTTGAATCTTTGTGTGTACTTCCTCTCTGCATGTTTCTTTGACAGATCTCCACTTCATAATCCGCCGGTGGTCATTTTCCGGGGTCTCTCTGTGAGTGTGGGCTCTGTTCTCTATTTCTCATGGTCATATTTTTTTCTGGTGAAGCATCCTGTGCTCTTCTCAGCAATGTGCCTTTTTAATTTACAGTTTCATACTACCTACAAATCTCTAACCCTCATTATTAAACATTGACAGTCCCATCCAGCACAGTTTGTGCTAAGAACAGGAATAATAGCGCAGATTGTCTGCTCGTTGAGGAAAGGTTTATTATATTTAAGTATTGCTGTGTTTGTGAGATGGTTTGAAAGTGCCTGCTGAAAGCATTAAGGTGATGTAATGATTGTTTCGCAGTGGCTGGATCACGGCCATCTCTGTGCTCAAGACTAGCATAGCCGTGTCAGTCTTCATGATGGTGGTGGCTGGATTCTTCAGTGGCAATGCTGTGCTGTCCATTATCTTACTGAAAATGGTAAGTTAGGCAAAGTTGTAAATGTGCATATGTTCTACTTGCACTTGCATACATCAGTGTAAAATCGATCTATATTTATCTGTCTGTTTCTCTTTATCTGTCAGTCTTTACAGATATTAAAAGTATTAATTTGTACCAATTTGGTACTAATATGTTGATCAAAGATAAAAATTTGTTTTCAAGCATCAAAACAATAAAAGTTTAATACAGCTTTATTTTTTCCCCCCGTACATTAGAATGTGTCCTGGTTCATTTTACTTTTTGCTGAGCAAAAAAATGATGACTAGCCTATATGTATTTTATGGTTTATTATTTTACCTATTTTGCTGTAGCCAATTATACTTTAATTTTTACTGTATTATTTTCTGCTCTTTTTGGAAAGCACTTTGGTCACCTTGAGTGTTGTAAAGCGCTATAAAAATAAATGTTAATTGATTGATTTGATATCATACATTTTTACTACGATTTACAGAAAACACCCACTAAAATGTCATTGTGTAACAATACTTCATATTACAAAAAATGTTGTCGGCCATATTTAGAACCACAATCATTAGTTGTCAATTTAAGTTAAGTTGTTTCATCTTTTAAAATAGAATAAAATTTAGTATGAGAATTTTTTCTTTTATATATTTTAATAAGTACGGGTCAGAATAAGTCGATTGTTTAAATTTTACAAAAATATATGTAATGCTGAATGACCTTGGAAGAATATTTCACCCAAATGTTGACATTTTATTTTCTCAAAAGCTATTTGAAATATTAAAGTAGACATTTTACTTTCATTAATATGCTTTTTATGCATATAAAATCGCTTTTGTAAAATTAAGTTTATGCGGACACTGAAATGGGATGTCTCATCTTTGACCCATATACACTTTAGGTACTAGTATGTACCTTTAAGGTACTAATTTGCAAATAAGGTACAAAAGTGTAGCTTTTGAAAGGGTGACAGCCCCAGTGTCAGCTTTTAACCCTTTTTTTCTAAGAGTGTATTTATATTGTTCATTACTTATGTACTTTTGTTCAAAACTCCAGTTTGGGACTTGTGCACTGACTTCCACTGTTTTCAGGTTCACTCCATGTACAGACACACAGGTGCGACCTTCCAGAAGGCACAGGAAGAGTTTTCTCAGGGGGTCGTCACTAACCGAACCTTCCAGTCTGCTGCCACCACAGCTGCATCTTCAGCCGCACAGAGAGCCTTTCAGTAACAGCCACAGATACTGTTAAAGACTGACATTAAGTTCTGCACATGAACCTCCATCAACCCAAACCTCGTATGGAAGGACAGTCTGTATTTGAGGCTTCTTAAAGCTTATGTTTTTTTCCCCTGCTGCAATGCATTCATTTGTTTACTGAAAGTTGCGTGGCTGTTGATCGGTGAGGCACTTTAGATGATAACATGGGTCCTGTGAGAGTACAAGTTGTATTTGATTTTATGAATAAGTTATATTAAGTTAAAGTGATTCTGAGGCACTATTTAATTGGTTTATGTAATGTTACAACATTGTTACAATATAGTCCAAATTCGTCAATCCAAATGATACTGTCTAGTTCGGTCCCTGCTATATGCATTTAGATACCGGTTGTGAAGTGTATTATTACATGTTGAATTATTCTAGTTTGATTTCGTCTTTATACCCCAACTCAATTAATTGTAAGCTGATGTCTCAGTATTGGTTTTACATCATTTGAACAACCATTCCCAAACAAATGTAGATCGTCTTTAGAGTGAACCATAGTACTGTTGTGAAAAAAGTGCTGTTATCTGTTTGTTGCAGTCTTGTTACATTCTCAAACTGAAGTGATTTTGCAGTGTTCTTAATTACGAACAAAATATGTATATATTTACAAATTAAGCAGATCTTATTTTACTGTGGTTAACTTGGGTGGGCTGCTAAAATATTTTATGAGTTATTGTTAAATAAACTTACTCTGATTAATGTTGTTTGTTACTGTTAATCTATATATTATTTATTTTGATAAACATGATACAATTTAATACTACAGAAATATATATATATATATATATATATATAAAATCACACTCGCTCAGTCCATTTCTCTCCCATAATACAGTGAGCTTTTAATACAGCAATACAAATATAAGCTTTCAAAGAAGCAATTATGTGAAATAGCTTATTCAAGATGATACTAAAAAAACATTTATAACTAAACCCTCTGTCAGCCATGACAATGTCTCCTTCTTCCAAAAGATCAATTAAACCAGACGATTTGGTGATTGTTTTGTCACTGGCTCTCCCACCCCAAGACTTGGAAAGGAATGTGACTGACGCCAACCAGGAATTTGATGGTGTTGTGGGACTTATAGTTGGAGTAGGTCATTGCTCTTGCATGGAGTGATGTTGGTCGATCAATGAATATCTCGCTGCAGTCTATGATAGACCTCACTGCATTGAAAGGGGGGCTTCTGTACAGGGTAGGAAGATTCTTTTTAATTTCTTCCCTTGAAGGCCAATGAATTAGAGAGGTGAAACGCTGTGCCATGATGTTCAACCAGTCATGAAATATTGTAGAGATTGTTGCACAACTGCAATGAAACCTGAAGGCAAGATCTTTATGAGTGAGGCCAAGTCTCAGTTTCATTAAGACTAAGTAAAACTGGAGAGCTGTTGGAGGGCTCAGTGTTCTCGGTCTCCAAGCAGTGGTGAGATATGTCAGAAGTGCGAAGAAGACTTTGGATGAGCGAAGGCCAGTGTAGAAGTGAATGATTTGATCATCCTTTAAATCCACATCGGATTTCAGATGTTTCCTCTCACAGGTGAGTGTTTGAACCTTTGACTCTAGGCGTCTCACTTGGTCTTTGTAAGATGTGTTCAGTTTCTCCAGGTCTTCAATATCCCTCATAGCGAGATCTGTTCCAACACACATATCACTGTAGGACTTAACTTCTGTTACATCTGTGTCCATGTGCTCTACTTCCTCCGCAGTGTTCATCTCATATACCTCTGATGCTCGTCTCAGAGACCTCTGATATCGGTCCATTTTTCTGGAGGGGTCAGGTCTGTATGGAAGCTTTGATGGAATGTAGTCTGGACTTAGAGGGTCATCTGATGGCTTGCCTAAAGACAAAAGTAGAAAAACATGATTGGGATAAACTATAGCTTTCCTTTCACACATCACTGGTTGAAGATACGTTACAAAAAAGTTTTTCTTATTTAGTGTTTTTGTCTTTCTTCTAGTCCAAATATCTAAAATTTTAAATCAAGCAGCATTTACTTAAGTAAAAATTATTGTCTTGTTTTCTGAAAAAAAAAGAGAGTCAAAATTAAGTCAAAGACAAACAAAATAAAAAAATATATATTTTTCCCGAAAACAAGGTTATTTTTCTTACCCCAATAGTAGATAATTTTGCTTGTTTTAAGCAAAAACTCAATTTTTTTTTTAGACAAGACAATACTTTTTACTTGTCTAGTAAATGCTTCATGATTTAGGAATTTTTAGATATTTGGACTAGAAACAAGACAAAAATACCAAGTAAGAAAAGCATTTTATGCAGTGTAGATTATGAACATTATGAGCAAATGCCAAGAGCATTTTGGTGAATGATGAAAACAAGATGAAAAAAAAACATTTAATTGTATTAACACTTAATTTCATGCTAGCAGCTGAGTGGTCTCAATTTGTAGATATCTAAGCGTTTGAGAGAGGCGGGGCATAGAGGACCTACAATAATGTACAGTATTTGAAAAATATTTTTTTGTTTTTTGAACATTAAAGCATGTCAACATATTCTGTTACACCAAATACACAAAATAATGATCTTTAAAAAAAGCATCATATGACCCCTTTAAATGAGTAAATATTTAAGGTATCATGAACAAACAATTAACATTTTACAACATTTATTGACGTTAATTTATATAAAAATTTACTAAAGTTAATAAAGAACAGTACTGCTTGTTGTGGACTAAAAACATTCCAGCATATGGCAAAATCGAGTTTAAACATGAAAACGTTAGTAATTAAAAACATAGGCCTATATATTTTTTACATTTAAGAATATTTCTTCAATATTTAACTCATCCAGGTTAGTTAGGTTAAATGTAAAAAATAATACTGTTATTGTTACATTACTGCATGATGAAATTAACATTAACAAAGCTTAATAAATGAAGGGGGAAATGTTGTTTACCATTCTCTTTCGTGAAATAATGCAGTTAGCTAATGTTACACAATTGTTTTGTTTTTATAAAGTGTTACGCATTGCATCTGTCAGCTGTATAGATAGCCAGACAACTGATGCAAACTGCTACTTTCCTAATAACAGCCCACAGAATATTTAGAAATGCAAACGGAAATAAACCCTTGCTTTTCACAATCAAAACGCGAGCTATCTGCATATGAAAACAATGACGGAGCCACAATGCTAGCTTAAACTTAGATTCAACGTCCGTAACTAGTGAACATATAGGAATACAAATGAATCCAGTAATAATAATTCCCTTACAAAAACGTCGTTTACTTACCAGATATAAAATGTGTGCTACATATCCTCGAGTTGCTAGTCTATGGCAAACCGCTTTAATGCTAAAACGGCTTGCCATACTAGTCGCTATCCAGCCTTCTCTCTTCACGGCTGCAATCCGAGCGTCACGTTGTGTTTTGTTTTTCGGAAATCTAAACACTTTAATTTCCGACAGCAAGTTAGTTCCTGGCCTCAGAGAGCATCCAGCCACCGAACAACATGCTCCTAGTTTTAATTTGGACATTTTTAATCGCTAGAATAAATAAACTGTCGCAATATCACTGTGTGTAAACCGTCTCCCGCCAATGTTCTGAATGCGCGCGTCAACTAACCGCAAATATCCAAGGACCAAAGACGTCGCCGTTGAAATCGCATACTTCCATACTATATAGTAGGCGAAAAACAGTATGCGAGGCGAGTAGTATGTCCGAATTCATAGTATTCAAAAAACAGTAGGCGAGAAGTACCCGGATGACATACTACTTCCGCCCGAATTCTGTAGCGTCTCTAATTATTGGCGACATCAGAAATGGATATTATATAATAGATGCTTTTTTGAACATTTTAGCAATTTAAAAATATTACAAAATGATTTTTTACACGGCACCCCGGTTGGGAAACACTGGACTACAGATTCCGCCACATAATAAAAAAAGGTAATTGCGACTTTTTATCTCGCAATTCTGACCTTTTTTCTCAATTGCGAGTTAAAAAGTCATAATTGTGAGATATAAACTCGCAATTCTGAGAAATAAAGTCAGAATTGCGTGATATAAACTCGCAATTGCGAGACATAAAGTCGCAATTACCTTTTTTTCTCGCAATTCTGACTTTTCTCCCTCAGAATTGTGAGATATAAACTCTAATACTAATATTCCTCCTATTACAGAACGCCATGTATTCGCCAGCACTGGGGTACGTTCAAGCTCAAACCGTTGAGCTCCGTTTTGCTACGGTTTCCGGTTTGAACGACATGTTTCCTGGAAACGATGTATTTATCGCGATTTCATCAGGCTCCACAAGAACACAAAGAATGGCCTTCGCAGCTGCCATAGTTGCAACTCTTGCGTCAGCAGAACAGTGTTCAATGCCCCAGATAGCACACATACGTTTGCAAGATGTCTGTTAAAGATCACTTGATCTGGAAAGCATCTGCTGTGTACAAACATCTGATAGACGTCTGTAAGATGTCAATTTGACATCCATTCTAAATCATAAACATCTTAAAGACATCTAGTAGACATCTATTTGACATCTGATAGAAAACGTCTTATAGACGTATTGCAGATGAGCAAACACTGTAAAAAATACGTCTTGCAGTCAAATAGACGTCTCTGAGATGTATGTGTGCTATCAGGGGCATCACTGTTTTATTTATCGCGATTTCATCAGGCTCCACAAGAACACAAAGAATGGCCTTCGCAGCTGCCATAGTTGCAACTCTTGTCATCAGAACAGTGTTCAATGCCCCAGATAGCACACATACACATACACATACACATATGTCTGCAAGATGTCTGTTAAAGATCACTTGATCTGGAAAGCATCTGCTGTGTACAAACATCTGATAGACGTCTGTAAGATGTCAATTTGACATACATTCTAAATCATAAACATCTTAAAGACATCTAGTAGGCATCTATTTGACATCTGATAGAAAACGTCTTATAGACGTATTGCAGATGAGCAAACACTGTAAAAAAAAAAAACGTCTTGCAGATGTAAATGCAGACGTCAAATAGACGTCTCCGAGATGTATGTGTGCTATCAGGGGCATCACTGTTTCCGTTTACAAAACGTTTTGCACCGTTTTTGTCGGGGCTGAACGCAACCCTGGTTTCGTTTCTTTTGATCATGTGATCACGTTGTTGTCACTTGTGACGTCGTTCCAAAAACGCCAATCACATTTCTACAGTCTTGTCAAAAGGCCAATCGTAGCTATCTTTGGGCGGAGTGTTTAAAGTCAAGTGTAGCTCACAACTGGCGAGTCTGTGCAAAGTTTGCAACTGAAACAAAATGCTGGAAAGCAAAATAACACATTTGACAGTGTGCGACGTAAGATTCCCGACGTCACTGGAACAACACGGATCGGATGCAATGGTGTGTAGCCTACTAACGATTCACTTCTGCATCGAGTTTATTTCAGTGATCAGAGTTAATGGATGCACCAACAATAATGCAAGCATTACAGTTGGCTGTAAATGTGATTGATTCGCAGCACACCGATCCAGATTACTCAGTCGCATATGTTGTTCTCGAGACGGACTCGGATGCTGCACTGAAGGGTTATGGGTTGACCTTTACTGTAGGAAGAGGGACGGAAATCGGTGAGATTCGCAAATCTATAACAATTCTACAAATATGTCATATGACCATGTCGTGCGAGTGGATCCTGTGTCCTAT